ACTACACTGCTACGCAGCTACACCGGGTATTCATTTGAGGCAGAGTCCACCTACGGGCAGGCCCAGGACCGGTTCGGATAATCGCCATCACTGGTGTTGGTGGTTGCCGTGAGCGGGAGTCGAAGTCTCTCTCCCTCTCTCTCTCTCTATCACTGTCACACGCACATTCTCACCGTCTCTCAGAAACGAAACTATTTTATTTTTTTATTTTTGCCAGGTGTGAGGACCGCACTGAGCTTCTGCATAACTCTCTTTCAGAAGCGATCCTGGTCGGCCACCAATGATAGGTCAACGAAGTGGGCTTATCATGGCGTGGACTTCATAGCAGCCAATTTGACCTCCCGGCATGCAGGAGGTAGTCAACATCTCCTCGCCACCGCGATGACGATGATGAGAGACGCAGACTCCAAATACACAGCAGCAGGTGTCAGGGTCGGGATCGAACCCACGACCCTCCTCCATATCAGGCGAGGGAGTTAACGTCTCGTAGACACCACGGCATCCACACACTCACTCACACTCACTCACACTCACTCACACTCACTCACAGTCACTCACACTCACTCACAGTCACACACTCACACTCACTCACACAGTCACTCACTCACAGTCACTCACTCAAACTCACTCACAGTCACTCACTCAAACTCACTCACAGTCACTCACAGTCACACAGTCACACACTCACAATCACTCACTCAAACTCACTGACACTCACTCTCACACTCTCTCACACTCTCTCACAGTCACTCACACTCACTCACACTCACTCACACTCACTCAGTCACTCACACTCACAGTCACACACTCACAGTCACACACTCACAATCACTCACTCAAACTCACTGACACTCAAACTCACTGACACTCACTCTCACACTCTCTCACACTCTCTCACAGTCACTCACACTCACTCACTCACACAGTCACTCACTCAAACTCACTCACACTCACTCACAGTCACTCACAGTCACTCACACTCACTCACACTCATTCACAGTCACTCACAGTCACTCACACTCACTCACACTCACTCACAGTCACTCACAGCCACTCACAGTCACTCACAGTCACTCACAGTCACTCATTCACTCACACTCACTCTCTCACACTCTCTCACACAACAACCGCCATTCGCCACTAAGTGGTGGTGACATCACCACGACGCTTGTGCCAGGCTATGTGCACCCTGAGGCCACGTGAAGTGTCGAACGCCCGCTGGCAGGAGGTCACGGGGCAGACCCAGGTGCCACGGGTCGACTGACTGAGATGACTGGCTGATGCACCACCTGTGCCCCCTACTGTGCCAACCTGCTATGCTTTAGCCACCCGGCGCTCCGCTCGTTGTTGTGAGCGTCGCTCCTCCGCCCTCCGTTGTTGTTGGAGGGCGACTGCCTCCAACTGCCCAGTAGCGTCCTTCACGAGCCTCCTCCACAGAGGCCGATCTTGACACCGCTGGTACCGGTCATCGGCAAGTCCACTCAGCTCCACGTCCTCCTGTACCACATCACTCCGTCTCTTCTCTAGCCCGTGCCGCGCCCGTTTAGCCCCCTCGATCCGGCCGAACAAAAGCTGTTTCGGCATGCGGTGGCTGGGCATGCGGGCTACATGACCCAGCCAACGCAGCCTTGCCTGCCGGAGGAGCTCACCAATGGGACCTTGCCCAGATCTTTCAAGGATATGTGAGCTCCTCACACAATCCAGCCTGGTTAAACCCAGGATGGATCGTAGGCAGGCCAGCCTAAATGTTTCTAACCGGCAAAGATGTTCCATTAGGGGGGTCCACACACTCACACACACTCTCTCACACTCACTCACAGTCACTCACTCTCACACTCTCACAGTCTCACACTCTCTAACACTCACTAACACTCTCTAACACTCTCTAACACTCTCTAACACTCTGTCACACTCTGTCACACTCTCTCACACTCTCTCACACTCTCTCACACTCTCTCACACTCTCTCACTCTCACACTCACTCACACTCTCTAACACTCTCTAACACTCACTCTCACACTCTCTAACACTCACTCACACTCACTCTCACACTCACTAACACTCACTAACACTCACTCACACTCACTCACACTCACTAACACTCACTCACACTCTCTCACAGTCACTCACTAACACTCACTCACACTCACTCTCACACACACTCTCTCTCACACTCCCTCTCACACTCACTAACACTCTCACACTCTCTCACACTCTCACACTCCCTCACACTCTCTCACACTCACTAACACTCACTAACACTCTCTAACACTCTCTCACACTCTCACACTCCCTCACACTCACTAACACTCACTAACACTCTCTAACACTCACTAACACTCTCTAACACTCTCTAACACTCTCTCACACTCTCTCACACTCCCTATCACTCTCTCACACTCTCTCACACTCACTCACACTCACTCACACTCTCACTCTCTCTCACACCCTCACACTCACTAACACTCTCTCACACTCACTAACACTCACTCACACTCTCTAACACTCCCTATCACTCTCTCACACTCTCTAACACTCTCTCACACTCACTCACTCACACTCACTAACACTCACTCACACTCTCTCACACTCTCTAACACTCTCACACTCACTAACACTCACTCACACTCACTCACACTCTCTCACACTCTCTCACACTCTCTAACACTCTCTCACACTCACTCACACTCTCTCACACTCACTCACACTCTCTCACACTCTCTCACACTCTCTCACACTCTCTAACACTCATTAACACTCACTCACACTCACTCACACTCTCTAACACTCACTCAGTCACTCACACTCTCTCACACTCACTAACACTCTCTCACACTCACTAACACTCACTCACACTCACTAACACTCACTCACACTCACTCACACTCACTCACACTCTCTCACACTCTCTCACACTCTCTAACACTCTCTCACACTCTCTAACACTCTCTCACACTCACTAACACTCACTCACTAACACTCACTAACACTCACTAACACGCACTCACACTCACTAACACTCACTCACACTCACTCACTCTCTCACACTCTCTCACACTCACTAACACTCTCTCACACTCACTAACACTCTCTCTCACACTAACACTCACTAACACTCACTCACACTCACTAACACTCTCTCACACTCACTAACACTCTCTCACAGTCACTCACTCACACTCTCTCACAGTCACTCACACTCTCTCACACTCACTAACACTCACTCACTCTCACACTAACACTCTCTCACACTCACTCACACTCTCTAACACTCACTAACACTCTCTCACACTCACTCACACTCTCTCTCACACTCTCTCACACTCACTAACACTCACTCACACTCTCTAACACTCTCTAACTCTCTCACACTCTCTCACACTCTCTCACACTCACTAACACTCACTCACACTAACACTCTCACACTCACTAACACTCTCTAACTCTCTCACACTCTCTAACTCTCTCTCACACTAACACTCTCTAACACTCACCAACACTCACTAACACTCTCTCACACTAACACTCTCTAACACTCACCAACACTCACCAACACTCTCTCACAGTCACTCACACTCACTCACACTCACTCACTCACACTCACTCACACTCTCTAACACTAACACTCACACTCACTCACACTCACTCACACTCTCTCACACACTCTCTCACACTCTCTCACACTAACACTCTCACACACACTAACACACTCTCACACTCACTCACACTCTCTCACACTCTCTCACTCTCTCTCACAGTCACTCACACACACTAACACTCTCTAACACTCACTCACACTCACTAACACTCACACTCTCTCCCACTCTCTCCCACTCTCTCCCACTCTCTCCCACTCTCTCCCACTCTCTCCCACTCTCTCCCACTCTCTCCCACTCTCTCCCACTCTCTCCCACTCTCTCCCACTCTCTCCCACTCTCTCCCACTCTCTCCCACTCACTCACACTCACTAACACTCACTAACACTCACTCACTCTCTAACACTCTCTAACACTCACTAACACTAACACTCTCTCTCACACTCTCTAACACTAACACTCTCTCTGACACTCACACTCTCTCTCACACTAACACTCTCACACACTCTCTCTCACACTCTCTAACACTCTCTAACACTCACTAACACTAACACTCTCTCTCACACTCTCTAACACTAACACTCTCTCTGACACTCACACTCTCTCTCACACTCTCTCACACTCACTAACACTCACACTAACACTCACTAACACTCTCTCTCACACTCTCTAACACTCTCACACTAACACACTCTCTCTCACTCTCTCACACTCTCTCACACTAACACTCACACTCTCTCTCACACTAACACTCTCACACACTCACTAACACTCTCACACTCTCTCTCACACTCTCACACTCTCTCACTCTCTCTCACACTCACTAACACTCTCTAACACTCTCTCACACTCACACTCTCTCTCACACTCACTAACACTCTCTCACACTCACTCACACTCTCACACTCACTCACACTCACTCACTCTCTAACACTCTCTCTGACACTCACACTCTCTCTCACACTCTCTCACACTCACTAACACTCACACTAACACTCACTAACACTCTCTCTCACACTCTCTAACACTCTCACACTAACACACTCTCTCTCACTCTCTCACACTCTCTCACACTAACACTCACACTCTCTCTCACACTAACACTCTCACACACTCACTAACACTCTCACACTCTCTCTCACACTCTCACACTCTCTCACTCTCTCTCACACTCACTAACACTCTCTAACACTCTCTCACACTCACACTCTCTCTCACACTCACTAACACTCTCTCACACTCACTCACACTCTCACACTCACTCACACTCACTCACTCTCTAACACTCACTAACACTAACACTCTCTCTCACACTCACTAACACTCTCACTAACACTCACTCACACTAACACACTAACTCTCTCACACTCTCTCACACTCTCTCATGACACTTCCCCTTCTTACCTGGACCGGGGCGCTCTCATCCAAGTTGTCTGTGGCTGCAAGGATCACATTCTGCAAACAGAAACACGGAGGGAGGAGGAGGGGGGGGTAGCACAGAGGTCAATCTTCAATGCAACGTAACAGTGATCACAGGGACGTAGGCGGAGAGCCCTCACTCCGACTGCTCATGAGACACTGAGCGTCGATCAATGCGATGACAATTACAACACATTTAATATTCTCGGCTCTTTCGGTAAAGTCACCACGTTGAAGGGGAAACAATAAAACAATATAAAACACAAATATATATAAAACAATAAAAAAAATTCATCACGACGTTTCGACCGTAACACAAACGGTCGTCATCAGGTGGTGTCGGTTCGCATTAATTTGTTTATTTTTTAGAACCGGTGTGTTTATTCATAATAAAGGTGTCTTGGGGGTTAGATCGCGTTCATTTATAAATGTGTCGTAACCCTCCACCACCCGACACGGCCAATCAGCAAAAAAAAGTGTCACGTTGACAAAAAGACAAAAATAGTTCACTACTTTAGCCCACCGGTGTGTTGTTGAAGAGTGAATCCACAACATTTACAGTTTGAGTTGTACTGTGACGTTTCGCTGGTAAATACTTCCAGCATCATGGGGCAATTCGCCAGAATGGTAAAGCCCTCGCTTGCTCCCGGTTTTTATATAGAGCAGCAGGGTGACGTCATCACTTAACTCATATCAGGTGCAGTGATTAGAGGCGGAGGTGGGGGGGTATTGTAATTATATAATCGATTAGTAATCAGTCATTGGTTATGATTAGTAATGAGTTGTAGATTAGTAATTCTTTAAATCAAAATGTAATGTGTATTATTTAATAATACGCTTCCAGGCCGCACTAAGCCGGTAGCTGTGTGTTTATTTATTTATAAAAAAAACGTCAGCGCCACGCGCAGCGATTTTGCAGTTTATTTAGAAGGACGAGTCCATCTATGTTCTGAAAAGAGGAGGGGGGAGACGAAAATTTAATGTATGCTGTCTGAAAGCCACCGTAAGCGTGAACAATCAATTAAGACCTGAAATGGTTTATCAAATCCTTCCAATGATTGCTAAGCCAGAATCCATCTTCTCGGTTGAAATTGTCTCTGTGCTCGTGTATGTGGATAGCCTCATGAACGAATCTCTCATGGTAGCCAGATGGCTTACAAAGAGCCTCCGTCTTGGAAAAGTCAATGTCATGTGAGCCTACTGAATTATAACAGTGATCTGCCACGGCCGAGGTGTTGGTCCTACCGTGTTTCAGGTCTGCTTTGTGTTCACGAATACGGTCCAAGACATGGCGTTTGGTTTCTCCAATGTAACTACTACCACAGAGGCAACTTAGTTTGTAGACGCCAGGGTACTATATGTCCGGAATCACATCTTTTACAGCCGGAACCAGATCACGGATTTTATGTAATGTGTTGAAACGGACCTGGATCTTGTGTTTATTCAAGATTTTGTAGATCTTTTTTTGCGATCCCCGCAATGTAGGGTAAAGTGATGGTTTTGAAAGGCTCCTCAAGAGGCTCCTTCTTCATGGTTTGAGTGATAGCTTTGCGGATTGTACAGTCGGAGCAACCATTAGCCTTACGAGCTTGGTGTACGTGCTCGAGTTCACAACGTCTCCAATCCGCCGGTGTTCTCTCGAACCCACGTGCTTCCTCCCTCTGAATCAATGCCGATGAGACGTTTAATGTCAAAACCCGTCCTTGCCTATAAACAACTAGGGCAGTTCGCCAGCATCCGATTGAGGCAGAGCCCGAGACTGCCGCTGATGAGACGCTGAGCATCGATCAATGCCATGACAATGTCGTTGGCATCTCTGATCAGGTCAGTGTTCTCTCGAACCCACGTGTTCCCCCGTCTGTGTTGAGGTGCAATTCCATCCAGCAGTGGACAGAGACCCTGGCTGATGATGGTGGTCGTGGCGGAGACTAGGGGGAGGCCTTCGTTCAGCAGCGGACGGACCGTGGCTGATGATGGCGCCACGGTGGCTAGGAGATGTTGACTACCTCGCCCGGTGTAGAGGAGGTCGTGGGTTCCACCACCATCATCATCATCATCACGGTGGCTAGGAGATGTTGACTACCTCGCCTGGTATACAGGAGGTCGTGGGTTCCACCACCATCATCATCACGGTGGCTAGGAGATGTTACCTACCTCGCCTGGTAAACAGGAGGTCGTGGGTTCCACCACCATCATCATCATCATCACGGTAGCTAGGAGATGTTGACTACCTCGCCTGGTATACAGGAGGTCGTGGGTTCCACCACCATCATCATCACGGTGGCTAGGAGATGTTAACTACCTCGCCTGGTATACAGGAGGTCGTGGATTCCACCACCATCATCATCATCACGGTGGCTAGGAGATGTTGACTACCTCGCCTGGTGTACAGGAGGTCGTGGATTCCACCACCACCATCATCATCACGGTGGCTTGGAGATGTTGACTACCTCGCCTGGTGTACAGGAGGTCGTGGGTTCCACCACCATCATCATCATCACGGTGGCTAGGAGATGTTAACTACCTCGTGTGTTCGATCCCGACCCTGACCCCTGATGCTGATTACACGATGTGACAGTTTCTTGTTCCTGGGTAAGTAAGTGTTATTTCGTAATTGCGTATGCCTAAAACGTATAAAAAATGGCTATTATTCCCCACAAACTTTACTTTTGTTCACATAAAGTCAGAGAAAAAAAACGACATGAATCAAAATTTACACGTATTTATACTAAAGTAATAAAAAAATGACCACAAAAGATTAAGAGGTGAGAAGTTTTTAGAGATTTACGATTATACTGTAAATTATTTTCACGAATCAGCCCGCAAATGTAGTCTCCCGTCATGTTCTCGTTACACCGTCCTTGGTAGCGGCGTTCAAAGTCCAGTATGTCCTGGTAGAAGCGCTCGCCTGGCTCCTCCGAGTACGCTCCCATGTTCTCCTTGAATTGATCAAGATGAGCATCAAGGATATGGACTTTGAGAAGACATCCTACAGCCCATTGTGCCGTAGCTCTTCACCAGAGTCTCAACCAGCTCCACGTAGTTGGCGACCTTGTGATTGCCCAGGAAGTCACGAACCACTGCGGCAAAGCTGTCCCAAGCCGCTTTCTCCTTATTAGTGAGCTTCTTGGGGAATTCATTGCACTACAGGATCTTCTTTATCTGCGGTCCGACGAAGACACCGGCTTTGACCTTTGCCTCAGGCAGCTTAGGGAAGAAGTCTTGAAGGTGCTTGAAGGCTGCCGACTCCTTATCTACAGCTCTGACAAATTGTTTCACGAGGCCCAATTTTGATGTGCAGTTCTTCACCAGAGTCTCAACCAGCTCCACATAGTTTTCGACCTTGTGATTGCCCAGGAAGCCACGAACCACTGCGGCAAAGCTGTCCCAAGCCGCTTTCTCCTTACTAGTGAGCTTCTTGGGGAATTCATTGCACTACAGGATATTCTTTATCTGTGGTCCGACGAAGACAGCGGCTTTGACCTTTGCCTCAGGCAGCTTAGGGAAGAAGTCTTGAAGGTGCTTGAAGGCTGCCGACTCCTTATCTACAGCTCCGACAAATTGTTTCACGAGGCCCAATTTGACGTGCAGTGGTGGCATCAGCACCTTCCGGGGGTCCACCAGTGGCTCCCACTTGACGTTGTTCCTCCCCACAGAGAACTCGGTCCGCTGTGGAACAGTCCAGCCTGTGGTAGTGCGCCTTGGTGTCCCTGCTGTCCCAAAGGCAAATATAGCAGGGGAAACTTGGTAAACCCGCCTTGGAGACCCATCAGGAATGCCACCGTTTTGAAGTCTCCGATGACCTCCCGGCCGTACTCATCATACTTCAAGGCGTCCAGCAAGGTTTTGATGCTGTTGTAATCCTCTTTGAGGTGCACCGAGTGAGCCATTGTGGAGCAGCAGCACGGCTTTGAGGCTCCTGGATGAGCTGCCAATGAAGAGGCGCCACTCATTCTGGTTACAGGCGATCCCGATTGCCTCGATCAACAGGCTGGTCACATTGTGGCAGAAGCAGAGGCCCATCTTGACGGGCGAAGAAGCTTCAAAAGGGTTGGTGACGCTTCCTCCGATCTGCGACTTGCGCACTTTCATCCAACAAGTTCCACTGCTTGAGCCGAGACGTCAAAAGCTCGGCAATGGCCTTGGTGAGACCAAGATGCAGACCCCAAATATAATTATTAGGAGTCTGCGTCTCTCTCTCTCTCTCTCTCTCTCTCCCCGTGATCGCATGGATCTGTCTCTGGGTCCTCCGGTTTCACCCTCCACATTTAGAATCAACGTCAGCGTGTCGCTTAAGAGCATTTGGCTGCCGCTATGAATTTCCGCACAATGACGATGAGCCACTTTGTTAAGCTCGCTATCGTTTGTGATGGCCAGGTGGCTTCTGAAAGAGAAGCTATAGGGACTCCTCCGCTCATAACAAACGAGTTAGGTTCCAGAGGTCGATTGGGGTTCGTAACTCCAACTTTACTCCGGTCGATTGCAAATGTGTTGTATGGCGTGTCCACTAAACATGGGGAATGGCTTTAAAAGTTGTAGAATCTCCTGCAGATACATTTGCCACTGGTTCTTCACGTTCTGTAGATGGAGTTGCCACTGGTTCTTCACGTTCTGCAGATGTAGATGCCACTGGTTCTTCACGTTCTGTAGATGTAGTTGCCACTGGTTCTTCATGTTCTGCAGATGTAGATGCCACTGGTTCTTCACGTTCTGTAGATGTAGATGCCACTGGTTCTTCATGCTCTGCAGATGTAGATGCCACTGGTTCTTCACGTTCTGCAGATACAGATGCCACTGGTTCTTCACGTTCTGTAGATGTAGTTGCCACTGGTTCTTCACGTTCTGCAGATGTAGATGCCACTGGTTCTTCATGTTCTACAGATGTAGATGCCACTGGTTCTTTATGTTCTGCAGATGTAGATGCCACTGGTTCTTCAGGTTCTGCAGATGTAGATGCTACTAGTTCTTCATGTTCTACAGATGTAGATGCCACTGGTTTTTCAAGTTCTGCAGATGTAGATGCCACTGGTTCTTCA